AAAAATTGTTTTTTTTTTTTTTTTGTGAGAAATATAATTTACAGTATACGAATTAAAAAATTGACTAATAAAATAATTCTGGGTTACAAGTTACAATTCTCGAGCGTCAACAGTCATTTAAAATAGACGATAGTTCTATATACTTATTTAGATATATTTTACTTTGTGCCATACACTGGCGAACTCTTACTCTTTTGTGCCATGTACGTTAAATACATTATTATTATGCACTTTTGACATTTTATCGTATATATTCTCAGGAATCGCTGTTTTTCTTATTTCTATAAAATATATAAACGTCTTTTTTCATCGTCGCGTCTTGAATTTTTGCTTGTTTGATGGATGCATATATGCCGATGTTCTAATTATTGTTGGTGATGTAAGATATAATATATGTATTTTGTAGCCTCGACTGTGATAGGGGAAGAAAATAAAGGATCGTTCCGTTTGTTCTTTTACGGCAATATTTGACGCCACTCTTTATCATTTGTCGCGAATAATAAATTTCCAGCGAAATGCAAAATGACTCTGAAAAAATTGTGCGCTTCTTCTACGAGGTATATTTCGTACCGTAAACACAAGGCCAGCAATCGCTAATGCTCGTACCTGACTTTGATGTTCGTCGTCGGTTGGGACCAGTTTCAGGGTCGCGAGAAAGAAAACCTGTGTACGAGAGAAGGCTCACGATACAAGGATACGCGGAATGATCGAGGAGAGGCCTTCCTTGATACGCCCCCGAGGTATGTCTTGCATCAAAGACACTGAAATGGTGTAATCACGCACGTGCGAATAAACATTTAACACATAAGAAACCGATTGAGAAAAATAAAATTTTATCATCCCGCGTTGTTTCAGCGCGATTCGTCGACTTAACATTAACACACATTTCGATTATCTAATTCTATATTAAATTTTTTTTTTTTCTTGTATAAAGCTTGCGAATTTTCCTATAATTGTCATTCGCGAGCCTCGCTTTATGCGATCGCATCTCGAGATCTCGAGTTATGGAGCCGTGTTGGCTCGACTCTTTCTTTCACGAGGTCTCCTCAGAACCGGTCAGTGCACGTTTGATAGTACATGTGCATCGCTGAGATAACTACACTCCCTCAGAGGTCGAATATATTTAGACTCGTCGCGTTAGACTAGAATAATATTTCGGATAATAGTATGGATATTAATAACTCTCTTTTTTTATATGATTGTATCGAACGAAATTCATATTCTTTGTTTTAACTCTGATAAGATTTGTAAGATTAGACACACTTCTATTACGTTAAAATTAATTATGAAATAATATAAGATTATAAAAGGCTCAAAATTCACAGGATTGCTCCAACAAGTTGCTATGTCAACGCATTCGAAAGTGTTAATATACTATCCCCTCTCATCCTGTTTACCGCATTTAAATGCCATATTGTGCGTAAATTGCTGAGACGAGGCTGGGAAGGCTAATTGACGTCAATTGTCAACTGTTAGAAGGGTAAGAAAAGTGTTTAGCAGTTTACGATTAGTTAATGGAAGCGAACGATGTTTTCACCATACAAAGAGAAAGAGAGAAATGGACGTTGCGTTATTTTTCTGCATTTTGCGATTATGTATTTAGACTTATAGCTGTAAACATGCTAACACTGCACACTGTACATGCTATTTTGCTTTTGTAATATATTATGCATAGAATAAATTATCTCCAACTTTGCACTTATTACGTGATCAGCGCTCCATCGCTAGAGATTAATATTAGAGTGCAATGTTGAAAATATTTTTAATTAATTCATAAACTCTGTAAATAAGTATGTCTTTTCACGATGAATAAAAGTTGATAGATTGATTCCCGCATAATAATAAGATACGTATAGAAGCTAAAGGATCTCTTGTCACGATATTTATATTTTTATTTAATAACATATTGATTCAGAATTGTGTTGTATAAATTAATTATGAGTTTCTCATATATATCTACAGAAATTCAATTTATGAAACATGGATACATCAAGTTGTCAAAATCAGCTGTTGATAACTGGTGACCATCAATCGATTACAGGTATCGTCAAGAGATAATTTACAATAATTATTTATATTATCGACATTTCTCGTAATCAAAAATTAAGACGCTTGTAAAAAAATATATTTACTAATATTTATTAATGTATTTATATAATCTTTATATTAGTAAATATTTATAATATATTATAATATATTTTTATTTTTTTGTGCTGCATGTAATTTACAATTGAATCTATGATTCACATGAATCATTCGGAGAATCATCATTACGCGGAAATTTAATTCTTAAAACGGATTTGAACGAGCTCCATATCCTTATGGAAGTTTATTATTTCATAGTTATTATTACATACATTGTCATAACTCGCCGTATACTTATATAGACCGTTACTCAAATGTAACGCAAATGAAAAATTCAACTGGTTGATGAGGATTACTAGTTCATTAAAATGAAATCATCGTCTAAGAATGATAATGACTGCATACCATTTGTTGTTTGTTTCATGCGCTACATGAGCACTTATAATAATTCGCCCTCATTATCAGTATCATTTAAAAAAGTAAACCGCGATTTCTCTCTCTCTCTCTCTTTCTCTCTCCCTCTCCCCCTCTCTCTCTCTTTTTTTTACGTATGAATTACGAATCGCGTAATGTTGATAGAGAATGAACTTTTATCACGCAAGCGCAATGTGCACGTAAAAATGCTTATTACAATCGGGTAGCGAGCGGGAGATAATATTGAAACATGAGATGATTAATGAGGGATAATGATTCACAGTTTGATCATCGCGATGATAAATTATAAATTATTAAGAGATCTGATGACCTTTGTCTTATTATATCTGTACGTCACAATTAATCGGATCTACGGAGATCTATCTCTCTGGAAGGCAAAGTATAGAAATTCGATATATGTATTTACATCACCGATCCTCGCATGACTCATCTCGCTCGTTAATTATTATTCACATACATACATTGTATCATCATACCTGTACGCATCGCGCATGCGCCGCGCTGTCAGTTGCGGTCGGCAAGACGTCAAAATTCCGCGCCGCGTCGCAGGTCGCAGTACGAATTCCGTCGTTGTGGTGTGCGCATCGTGGTGTCTCGTCTTCTATAACCGGTCGACTTTGTATATTACTAAAAGAGCAACATGGCAGTCTGTAAGTTACAATATCCGTATTTTTGACGTTTGAAATCTTTTATTTGATATTTTTAACGATTTTTTAAATCTATATAATTAGAATATGATTTGTTTTATATGGAATTCCTGTTGCTAGCTGTACCTTATAGAATCTATTCATCTATTGCATTATTGATCGACATGTTTCACGACTGTTTTGGAGTAGAATATAGCTATGATCGTTATGATCGCTCGATTTAAATTGACGCGTAACATTACGTAACGTTGTATATACGCAGAATTGTGACGTTGCGCCAAAATAAAAAAAAAAAAGATTTTAACGTCGTATAATATATCTAAGATATTATTTCATTAATCAAAATTTTTATACTCGTTGATTAATTTCTGGACGCGGATCTAAGAGTTTTCGTCTGCCTCGCGAATTCATTTCCGCGCGTCGAGTTTTATTCCATTTTACGACGATTTTTATAGCGATCGAAGAAAAATAGTTTCTAGGCGGAAGAAATAGTAGCTCTCTTCTTAAGAAGCGATGCTGTATCTTTTCTAAGGTCTTTCTAAATATAGAGTTGAGGCGCGGCTGCCGGTTTGACAAGCCGGCCGGTGTTTCGATGCTTTTATACGATCGCATCGCATCTTGAATGCTCAAACGATTCTTTAAAGGAACTGTCGTGTACGAACGTTTGTGTAGACCTGACCTGAAAAGAAATTACGAATCTCGCCGCGTGCTCACAGACAATGGAGAAAAAGATTCTAGGAACAAATATCAGAGACTTGGTTTCGGTTTTCACAGGTATTCGGCACGAACGATACAATGAATAGAATGAAAGGAAGTACGATGATGATATTCATTAAATCACGCAGACATCGATATAAATATTTGTTAGAGTGTAAAATCTAAGATATATAATATGTATGTATCGCTGCGGTATCTGTTGCACGATTTAATGAATATATGCCACATTGTCTCAAAATTGTTTATTCAGTTTCCGAGTTTACATGCAGTATTAATGTGAGAAATTTCGCAATTATCGCGGCATAGCGATTGTGAGAGTAGATCTCGGATCCGATGACGTCCCCCTCGTCGGGTATAACATCATGTCATAAGAATGTGATCCCTCCACGTCCGCGCAATCCATGATTTCCAGAGATTGCTGGTCTCGTAATAAAGTTGCCGCCTCCGAGCTTCTTCATCTTATCGTCTAAAAGTCTAAAGTCGTTTCTTCCGTTCTCTGAGCACGCGAAAACTAATTTATCATTCTCTCGAAAATCTTGCTTTCCATCATCGAGTCTATTCTTAATTTCAAGAGCAAACACACACATACATATATATACATATACGCGATTATTTAAGTTGCGCGTTTACGATGC